CGTGACTCCGCCCCCAGCCCATCCCGTTGCAGAGGTAGCCACAGTGTTCAGCTCTGGGGCTGGTTCTCATTTCGATCCGGGATCTTCTCCCCCCCTCCCCCTTGATGAATGAGAAACCTGAGGCTTTCTCATCCGCGCTGCCTTTTCCAGCATCACGTGCGTCTTTTGTGCAACTAACTGCAGTTGCCATGTGGTCTGTCCGTGACTCCGCCCCCAGCCCATCCCGTTGCAGAGGTAGCCACAGTGTTCAGCTCTGGGGCTGGTTCTCATTTCGATCCGGGATCTTCTCCCCCCCTCCCCCTTGATGAATGAGAAACCTGAGGCTTTCTCATCCGCGCTGCCTTTTCCAGCATCACGTGCGTCTTTTGTGCAACTAACTGCAGTTGCCATGTGGTCTGTCCTTCCCCCTCCATGCAGGACGAGACTGGGTGGGGGAAGGGGAGAGGGGGGTGAGGTGCAAATAGCGCCCTTATTGGCTAGTGCACAGATGGTCACTGCAGCGAGTGGAGATGTTTCTGGAGTGACTCATCGTTTCATTGGATTGGGTGAAATTCAGGAGGTGGACTTCTGCTTTTCAACTCTAGCGTAGTCCCCTCATTCTCCAGCTTTCCACTCACCTGAAGCCTAGGAACTACAAAGATGTGAATTATTTAAAGAAATGTTTTCAGTTCAGTTGTTCTCACAGACATGTCGGTGCTGTCTATACCTGAGTGGATTACACACTAATTCAGATCATATAAATATTTAGTCTGCAAAGATTTGTACTACAGTAGTACAGGAAACATAGATGATATATTAAGGACAGTATGTCATTAGCTGTGTTAAACATTCACAGCTACATATAAAAAGGATGCCATTTCTGAATGTAGCCTTTTAAAATTGCTATGTATAGCTACATAAAATAGATACGTGATTTTTATAAATGCAGCTAAACTGTAGCTAAAGGAAACACACCAGTGCAACATTTCACACCTCGGAAATGAAACAATTAAAATATGTCTTGGTGGTAGCTAAATTATGGTGAAGTAATTTTAAATTCATCAGACAGATGAGGCTTAATGTACCCAACTATCCACTTCAGTCCACAATGGTTGTGTCTATAGGTACACAAATCATTGTGTTAGAAAACACCATTAAACAAGATTTTGTCTTTAGGATCAACAAGAATTTTAAAAGTGTTAGTAAATATGTTTTCTAGCACAATCCACTTTCAAGTATAGATCAAACCAATATATGGAAAGAGCTATCCCTTGATCCAGCAATGCCACACAGATTTCTGCATGGAACCACATTAACCTCCACTAGGCTCCAGTGAAGGTGCAGGGACAGGAGTTCATTGCAACATTGGAACCTTATACCTATGTTTAATGTGATGGGACTACTCATTCTGAAAGGTAAGATATATGTAAATATTTGCAAAAATCAAGCTTAAGGTGGCAAGTCTCCTTCCATTATTATAAATACATTCCTATAATTTTTTTCAAAAAAATCTTGGAACTGAAATTTTCCATGATCATACTCAGCCCAGAGGTGATTTTTTCCTGAGTATTTTAGCAAAACCCAATGAATTTTAAAATACATGATCAGTGAGAACAGGTAGAACATATCTCTATCTCATTTTCAATAGCATTATCATCATTTAGCTGAACATGAATAACTAAAAAGGGACTGAACATTGAAGTTTGTTTGTAACTACTTCCCAATGAGAAATAGACATCAAAGACGTCTGAAAAAATAGTAAAATTGTAACTGGTTAAAACATTTAATTTTGCAAGTGCACACTGAAAGATTTCTATTTATTTGATATTTTAATAGATGTAAGCAAGCAGCTCTACTGGGCTGTAATACTCCGTTTAACAGCAGCTAAGTCACAATCCTGCATTTGTTTCCTCACAATACTGTTAGCACAAATCAGGAACAGATTAATAAAAAATGAAGTGTTTTGCTATGGGGCTGCAATAGAGAGAGTGGTTTAGCACTCTGTGGATTGGTTGGGGTTTTTTTTAATGTTTTTTAACCTATAAAGGTGATCTAGAAAGACTTGCAACTTTTTTCTTCTTTAAATAAGTCCTAAAAAGAATTATCTCATCCTTCATTTCTCCAAAAGTTTGATCCTGCTTTTTTTTTTTCTTATGAAAAAAACCTGGAATGTCAAGTCTTGATTTATTTATTTATTTAATTTATTTTTTTTGGTTAGATGACTTATTGCAAGATTCAAAAATACATACTGGGAGATTTCTCAACCTGCAAGTGAAGGCAACGAGTGTTCAGTTTTTAGCAAAAACCATTTCTTCCAAAGTTAAGTGTTGACAAAAACTAACCATTGCCTCTCCATTAATCAGGTTTAACACACTTGCTTTGGTACTAGTGAATTGTAATCATAAGAGATCAGACTAAAGTAATTTTTAAAATTGTTACTGCATGATTTCTCTAGCCCTGCCATGTGGATGGGTTGCATAGTAGTTAGCCCCTTTCATGAACATTTCATTCAAATGCAAATTTGGTTAAGGAGGTCTACAAGCTATATTTTATCATTCAATTATGGCATGTAAACATTGAACACAGAGCTCTAGCCTCTAGTACAACCTTAAATATTAAAAGAAAGTATACAGGCCTTCTGGTGCTCATACATTATCAGTCAAAGCAACTGTCTGATCTTATTACTGTTACCCATCATCCTCTCTTCTGCTCCCCCACCTTCGCCTCCATTTGTATTCATCACTCATTAGATTACATACTAAATATTAGCTCGATTCGGCAAGGCCTTTGATAAATATTCCTTATTCATAGGTGTAAAGTAAATAATTTAAATTAGAGTTTACAGGATAGAGGCCTTAGCTTTCAAACTCATTGGGTGTTTTATTAGTCTTGTTATGTATCATACCATATTTATGATGCATCATAAATACAATCAATGACCAAATAATTTACAAAAAATAGTTTGCTTGCCAAATAAAGCCTCCTTTTGTACTTGCAGAGTGTCCATAATCAGGCAATGATTTCCTCAGATTTACTCAACTGGGTTTTGTGGTTTCTTTTACTCTTTATAAATTAATCATGCACAGTTAGATTGGAGTACTTATTACTCGGTGCTAGAAAGCTGAGCTGTTTTGATTAGTGCAAGTGGGCACATAATTCACATAATATTGTTTCTTTTCACTGACTTGGACCCTATTGAGGAAAGCACGTAAGCACATGTACAAATTCATCTGTATACAGCAGGGGTGGGTAAATGGGCCTCTGCAGGCTGGATTCAGGCCACCCAGCAGGTTGATCCAGTCTATGGAGGTCCTGCTTCTCCCCTACCCTCAGGCAATCAGGGCCTAGGAATGAGGGAGCCTACCATGCTTAGAGTCAACCTTTGGCCACGTGCCAAAGAGCAGGGAATGAGGGTATGTCTACACTCGTGGAATGAGGAGTACAGCTAGTTCGGATTAGGAAGCCTAATCCGAACTAGCTACTCCATGCCGCGTGTAGCCGCACGGCACGGGGTTCGAACTAGCCGGGATTTAAAAATGGCGGCTCCCGGTTTATGCAAATGAAGCCCGGGAAATTCAAATCCGGGCTTCATTTGCAAGTGCGGTATGCCTACATTACCCTCCTACTTCGAAATAGGAGGGTAGTGTAGACATACCCTGAGAGACTTCAAGCTCCCCCAGCTCCCAGGCCAATAAAAGCCTGGGGACAGGGGGAAGCACGAGAAGTCTCCTCCCACCCTGCCCCTGCCCTGCAAGGAATGTGCAGCATTCCCCTCAGCCCAAGCCCCAATTGGGGGCGGGGGGAGGAGGTGAAGTCTCCTTCCGCCCTTCAAGAAGTTTGGCACTTACAGTCAACCACCAGCTGCTGCTCAGCTGGCAGGTGACTAAGCAGGGTGCTCCCTTGCAGTGCAGGGGCAGTCTCTGCATGCTCCACCTTCCCCCAGGCCCTGATTGACTTGGGGGTGGGAGTGTGCAAAGTCTCCTCCCACTTCCAGGGATGTGGGCAACTAGGGGGAACTGCCAGTTCAGAACAGGTGGTGGGTCTCTCTTGGAGAGGTGGGGGCAAAGACTTCACACACTCCCCCTCTCACAGACCAATCTGGGTCTGCGGGCTGGGAAACATGGAAGTGTCCAGCCCCCTTCCTCCTGAGGCCCCACTCCTTCTGGGACAGCCCAGGGCCAATTCCAAAATTTCTGAAGTGGCTCCCGTCAAAAATTATTCCCCACACCTGATGTAGACTCACAACCTAGTCAAAGAAAAAAAGGCGAATAGATAGAATTGGGTTCCAAATCAGGAGGCAAGTAAGAACAATTGGATGATATTGTTGATTTTAGTAAAGCAAAAAAAAAAAAAAATCTGGCAAACATTTATATGCATAGGCTTAATTTTAGTTATGTGATTAGTTTCATTGACTAGTTTCATTTTCAGTTACTAGACTCTAGGTAGGTTCTTGTGCTAGGGTTGCCAGGTGTCCAGTATTGACCCAAACAGTCCGGTATTTTTGCCTCCTGTCCGATGAAAAAAATCAGAAAATACTGTATTTCCCTGCTAGGAGGTGAAAATACCAGACACCTGGCAACCCTACACACACGCACCCCGGCAC